GAATGTTTTATTCAATTTATCATCCTTTCTCTTATGTCTTATTCGTGTACTTAATTAGGGATGGTACAACTACGAAAATGTGGTACAAGTTTGAATTTGCGAAACAATAAATATAATGTTGTGTAAAGAGAGAAATAAATTACTTATAATTTAATGTATGCATGTTGACTGTTCAAAATTTATGAGATTTTTATAAAATGTTTTGAGGGGACCACCACAGTACCCCCTTCCTAGAATTCCTGCTAGGCATTTTGCAGGAAGGCGACTCGTCTTAGTGATTTAACGCTGCTCGATGTTACAGTTGCGGCACTTTGTTTATTTGTTGTTTCATCGGCGATGAAGTACGCTGGTTTGAGACGGTCAACTGAAATTACAACGTTTTTACCTTTTATAATAACTGTGAAAGTTTTGCTGTTTTTTGCGGCGATTTTGTATGGTCCATCATAAGGCTCTGTCATTGAAGGTTTAACCCTGTCGTTTCGTACATAGACGTGCGTTGATGCCATCAAATTCTTGTTGACGAATGGTATGCTTGGAGAATGCCATGTAGTTTCAACTGGGCGGATATTTTGCAGATGGGTGCGTAGCTTATCAGCGAAAACAGAGTTAGGTCGCACGCGGTTGCTCGAAGTGAAAAATTCGCCTGGCAGTCGCGTCGGGGAACCAAACAACATTTCCGATGCCGAAGACTTGATGTCGTCTTTTACAGCATTCCGCAGGCCAAGTAAAGTTAAACCTAAGTTGTCGACCCATTCATCTTTACCTGTAGCGAGAATCGCGGTTTTGAACGTGCGATGCCATCGCTCAACTAAGCCATTTGCCTGTGGATGGTATGGCGACGTTCGCTCGCGCTGTGTTCCTAGTATGTGGAGCATTTCGGTGAACACGTTTGATTCGAATTGGGCTCCTTGGTCAGTTACAATTTTCCTTGGCGCTCCATAGCGACCCACCCATTCATTTAAAAAAGCTCGGCAGACGGTTTCGGCCTGAATGTCGGTAAGAGGAATGGCCTCCGGCCACCTAGAAAACCGATCGAGGAACGTTAAGCAATAGCGAAAGCCATGGCATAGTGGTAATGGTCCAATTATGTCCACGTGGACTACTTCAAATCGTTGATTAGGCATCTCCATACGTACCAACGGTGCCCTGTTGTGTCGGTGAACTTTGCTGCGGCTGCAACGTCCACACGCTCGAACGAACTCCTTGCAGTCCTTTCGCATGCTTAACCACACGAATCGTTGTGAAACCATTCTAAGCGTCGCGTTCGCACCTGGGTGTGCGAGATCGTGCAGTGTATGTAAAACTTGATGCCGGAAGTCATACGGAACTACCGGCCTGATATTGCTTGTGGAGATGTCACAAAGCAGTTGGGCTTGAGTGACTGGTATCTCGAAATGTTTAAATTTGAGCGAATGATTTCTCTTACCATGTATCAGCGCGTTAATGTCGTCATCAGTTCGCTGCGCAGTGGCCATATCAAGGTAGGTGATTGCGGTTATAGTGTTGATACGAGATAGCATATCAGCCGTTTGGTTTGCAGATCCAGGTATGTGACGGATGTCAGTTGTGAACTGGCTTATGTAGTCCAAGTGTCGGATTTGGCGAGGTGATCCTTTTTCCGGGCGTTGACTAAAGGCATAGACTAACGGCTTGTGGTCGGTAAAAATGGTTGTAACGTTGGCTTCGATCATGAATTGGAAATGCTTTACGGCTAAGTAAACGGCCAACAACTCCCTGTCGTACGTGGAGTACCGCTTTTCAGTATCAGAGAGACGTCGTGAAAAATAGCCTAAGGGCTGTGGCTCGTTGTCAACCAGCTGATGCAGTACGGCCCCTACGGCGATGTCCGAAGCATCGGCGGTTAGTTGCAATTCAGCACCAATCTTCGGGTAAGCCAAAGTAGCGGCACTAGCCAGGTCTTTCTTGCATTCATCAAACGCGGCAACCGCTGCTTCGTTCCATTCGATAGGAGATCTGTCGTTGCGTATATTGCCGTTGATAAGTTTCTGCAAAGGCGCTTGACGCTGCGCAGCATCAGGCAGAAATTTCCTATAGAATTTGACGGTTGCTATGAAACTCTTCAATTCCTTTGCGATAGTTGGCCTTCGTACCCGCAATATGGCTTCTATTTTTTTCGGGCAAGGGACGAATCCCCTCTTTGGTGATGAGGTGACCCAAAAAACCTGATATGAGTTTTTCCAAACTCACATTTCGACAGATTTATCGTCAAGCCCATCTTTCGAAATCGCTCAAATACCAAACGAATGTGTTGGTTATGTTCTGAAATGCTCGATGAGGCGATGCATATGTCGTCCACATATGGAAAGACGAAGTCTAATCCACGTAGCGTTTCATATACTAGGCGCTGAAAAGTTTGCGCTGCATTTCTAAGCCCGAATGTCATATGCGTAAACTCAAACAGGCCAAAAGGTGTCACTATGGCTGTTTTTTTACATCTTCGGGTCTGACTGGCACCTGATGAAAGGCGCGCTGCAGGTCAATTTTTCCGAAAACCGTTTTTCCAACGAGTATCGCAGTGCAATCGTGTATGAATGGGATCGGGTATCTGTCGGGCACGGTTATTTTGTTGAGCGCCCGGTAGTCCCCACATGGTCGCCAGCCACCGTCTGGCTTTCGAACCATGTGGAGTGCGCTGGCCCAGTTACTTTTGGATGGACGACATACACCGATTCGCATCAAATACTCGAACTCGGCTTTGGCTGCAGCAAGCTTTCCAGGTCCAGCTTTCGTACACGAGCGTTCACAGGTTGACCAGATGTTTCTATGACGTGATGAACATCAGTATTAACTGGTCTGCGATCCGAAGTCATCTCCGTGAGGTCTTTGAAGTCCGCCAGCAACTTCGCGAACGGATCGTTATGATCGAATGCCTTAATCTGCATATTCAACCCGGTGCGAATAGTGCACGGCACTTCGAAGTTCGTAGTTTTGTGTATTAATTTGTTTCTTTTCAAATCAATGATTAAATCATAGTGGCGGATAAAATCCCTGCCGATTATCGGTGTACTTACGTCAGCTAACATGAAGCTCCACTCAAAGTTCCGTCGCAGGCCAAGATTTATACGGCGGCGAAGTATACCGTATGTGTTTATTTCTGAGCCATTGGCCGCATAGAGCTTCACGGACGTCGGCTGCAAAGGTTTCGATGTATGCATTTTTGGTAAGACGCTGAAATCGGCACCGGTGTCGACAAGATATTTGATGTCGGACGATCGGTCGGCGACGTAGAGTTGGTTAATGCTCGCGCTATATATAAGTTGTGCTTGCTCGCTGCACGGCGTTGATTGTCAATCTCGCCTGCTGCTCTCATGCTCGGCACCACCTCGTTGGCGTCGACCGCAGGGGCTGCGGCAGCAAGTTGCTGCGTCCCCAAATGTTTGGTGATACCAACATTCCTGAGAATTTGGCGGCTCAGAACGCTGACTGCTGCAGCGACGGCTGCGTGAACGGGTGCGTTGAGGATTGCGACGATGACTGCGCCCTCGAGTATTCAAATCGTCGAACCTTTTTTGCAATTGATGAACGGCGCTTGTGATTTTCGCCAACGTAGTTGCTACCTCTGTTGACGGAGCAGTTGACGCCGATGTTTCCGAGATAGCACAAACTTGACGCTGGGATACCGTCTCCATTACTGCGTCGGCAACTGCTATCTGTACGTCTATTGGGCCTTCTCGTGCAATTATAGATGCACGAACGAGTTCTGGCAAACGTTGGATCCACATTGCACGAAGCGCATCTTCGGAAAAGGAATTTCCTGCTACACGTAGCATGGCGTTGTACAGCTGACTGGGTCGTTGATTGCCCAGCACCATTTCTTCGAGCAAGCGCTGGATTCTGCGCTGCTGACTTTCCCCGAAGTATTTTAATAATTCACGTTTTAAATACTCGTACATGCCTACTCCGGTGCTAAGCACACGTTGGGGATTTTCGGCGTTTCTGCAGATTTGTCCAAAAGTAGGCAGAGTGAGCGGGTCCAACGTTGCCATTACGTGGTAGTATCGTTGAGCATCGCTTCGCATATTGCATGCTCTGAACCAGTATTCGCGCATGAAATTCGTTTTGCATTGGCGGCTGTTGAAGATGTGCACTTTGCTGTTGTTGTTGGACCAATGACTGCTGTTGACCCAACGGTAAGTTTGCGCTTTGTTGCTGTTGTTGCTGAACCAACAGTCGATGTTGTGGTACTGGCGGTAGCGGTGCGCCATGCTGATGCTGCCCTAAAAGCACTGATGTACCTTGTTGTTGCGAACCGGGCGTTTCGGTTATTGGCGTTTGCCCTTGAGCCATGTCTTGCGGAGCTCCGTTATTGATTCGGTTAGGCGACATCTCTGGAAAACAGTCGCTGCCTGTGACCGTCGCGCTGTCTGTCCTCTGCAATGCGAGTTCCATATCGAATCGTTTTTAAATTATGTTAGCGGCGAAGTAAATTTTGCGATTGCACAATAGAATAATGTGCGGAAAAATATTCGAAGCTTTTTTAAATATTGCATTGGTTCTACAAAAAAAAACCGGTGGAGATCAGTCCATTAACGGGATTCTGACACCAATGTGGTCGAGCGGTATAATAAAATTTGCTAGTCACTCTCTTGGTTGCTGAAGTACGAATGTTTTATTCAATTTATCATCCTTTCTCTTATGTCTTATTCGTGTACTTAATTAGGGACGGTACAACTACGAAAATGTGGTACAAGTTTGAATTTACGAAACAATAAATATAGTGTTGTGTAAAGAGAGAAATAAATTACTTATAATTTAATGTATGCATGTTCACTGTTCAAAATTTATGAGATTTTTATAAAATGTTTTGAGGGGACCAATATGTTTTGTTAAAATGTTTCCAATATGTTTCGACAGTTTGTAGCAAGGTAAATTCGTGGATGAAGATATTGGTCGAAGAGGTGTGTCTGTTTTATGAAATTTTGGTAGTTCATATAGTCGAGGTGCATTTGCCGCTGCGCATGTCAAGTAGTATTTTTGTTTGATGTCAATTTGTTTCTGCTTGTATAAGTTATTTATTATATCGTTACTTTTCCTCAATAGTTGCTGAGTAGGATCGTTCCTCGTAGTTTTATAAGTGTTTTGGTCATTTAGCAGTTCTCGCATTTTGTCTTCATATTGTTTTTTATATAACATAACCGTGTTATTGCCTTTGTCCGCTTGCGTTATTATTATTTCATCTTTATGTCGGTTTATAAATTTTTGGGTGTTCGCATATGTTTGCAATATAAACTTTCTTTGCTATTGTTTTTAATTTTATCCTGAAATTTGTTTATTTTTGCTGCGATGTTGCTTCTAGCCATATCCTTTTCCCTTTCGCCCGTAATCTCCTGTATGCCTTTTTCCAGGTCGGCAATAATGTGTATCGGGGGAAATGTTTTTCTCGACACAGGTAATGCGAATTTGTCCCCTAGCGACAGTAGCCAGTGCGACTCCTGAGGAACCGGAACGTCAGTCTTGTTGATAAACCAGTCTTCGTTAAATTGTATGCCAAATTTATTCGCATTTCTCTCCATTAGCTCATTTATTTTTTTGTTGTGCGTTTTTTGAGTATCCATTAATATTTGTTTGGAGAACTGTTTTTGATATTCAATGATTTGACCATATTCTGTTATTTGAAGTCTGTTCCGTAATGTTTGCTGGGTATTCTTGGTGTCGGTTGTTATTATTTTAATGTTTATGTTTGTTTCTTTGATCTCCAGATTGAGGATTTAAGCAAAAAATATTCTTCCAATTTCTTTAAATCACGCCTAGTGGTATCTAGCTTAAAACAGTGTAAAAATCTCTTCATTTTTTCCCTGTAGATGCGGTGGGATGATTCCATAGTCCTTGCATCTTAGCAAAAATTTTAACCTCTCCTTTTCCTTTACCAGTTTTTTGGTGCTTTTGTTGTATTGCTTTATTATATAACAGGTCTCATCGTCGTACTTCAGTCTTATATGTTGGTAAAAGTGCCTCATGTTTATTGTTGTTTCACGTTACTCGTACAATTTTCGGGTTTTCTCACCGATCTCACATAGTTATAATTATGCGAAAAATGCCAACAAATTTGGCATACAATTTAACGATGACTGGATTGTCAACAAGACTGACGTTCCGGTTCCTCAGGAGTCCCGCTGGCTACTGTCGCTAGGGGACAAATTCGCATTACCTGTGTCGAGAAAAACATTTTCCCCGATACACATTATTGCCGACCTGGAACAAGGCATACAGGAGATTACGGACGAAAGGGAAAAGGATATGGCTAGAAGCAACATCGCAGCAAAAATAAACAAATTTCAGGATAAAATTAAAAACAATAGCAAAGAAAAGTTTATATTGCAAACATATGCAAACACCCAAAAATTTATAAACCGACATAAGGATGAAATAATAATAACGCAAGCGGACAAAGGCAATAAAACGATTATGTTATATAAAAAAGAATATGAAGACAAAATGCGAGAACTGCTAAATAACCAAAACACTTATAAAACTATGAGGAGCGATCCTACTCAGCAACTATTGAGGAAAAATAACAATATAATAAATAACTTATACAAGCAAAAACAAATTGACATCAAACAAAAATACTACTTGACATGCGCAGCGGCAAATGCACCTCCACTATATGGACTACCAAAATTTCATAAAACAGACACACCTCTTCGACCAATATCTTCATCCACGAATTTACCATGCTACAAACTGTCGAAACATATTGGAAACATTTTAAAAAACTTAACATCGGATGAATATTCCATAAGAAATTCATATCAACTAAACGAAAAACTAAAAAATATGACAGTTGAGGACGAAGAGATTTTAATATCATTTGATGCCGTATCTTTATTTACAAACTTTCCGTCACAGCTGGCTATATGTACGTACCATTATGAAAAAATGGAAACACTGAAAAATCATACAAACATTGAACGAAAACAATTCCAAAATATTCTAGAGTTTTGTTTGCGAGACAACAATTATTTTACATATAATAACACCCTTTACCAACAAACATATGGTATGCCAATGGGTAACCCATTATCTCCGACCATAGCGGATATTGTACTTGACAACATATTAGACGACAGCATAACCGAATTGCAACAAACTGACATACATATAAAATACATAAGTAAATATGTAGATGATGTGTTTGCAATACTAAAAACAAAAGACGCGGAAGATATACTAAAAGTATTGAATGCACAAAACACGAAAATTAAATTTACGGTTGAAAGAGAGAAAGACAATAAAATTGCCTTCCTACACTTAGGGGTGCATAGAAAACAAAATATAATAATGTTTAACTGGTATGCGAAGTCCATCGCGTCGGGTAG